TAATCCAACATGAGCTTCTATTTCTCCTTCAAAGAAATCAGATCCTTTATCAGTGAATGATCTTGATAATGCATCTGCTATAAAAAGTACTTTTCCTGGTTTATATTTTACCTCAAACTGATATGGCTGTAATGTTATACGCATTCTTTGTAGTCTTACAGGACATTTATTTAATGGCTTTTTAAAAATTGATTCCAGTGGTTTATGATCACTTTCCACAGTAATATTTTTTCCAAATAGTATATACTGGTGAAATTTATCACACGCAAATACAATAGCTAAAGTTTCCTTTTCAATTTGAGCATAATTCTTTTGTGTATCTGTTAATGCCTTAGATGCATGTGCCACTGGTAAATTATTCTGCAGTAAGACTGCTCCTAGTCCTTCTTGAGATGCATCTACAGATAAAACTACTGGCATGTTTATATCATAATACTGTAAAACTGGTTTATTTACCAAGACATCTTTTAGTCTTCTAAATGCTTTTTCATGTGTTGCATTCCAGTTCCAAATAACTTGTTTTTGCAACAAATCTCTTAAACATGATGTCAATTCTGATACATTAGGTATAAATCTAGAAACATATGTAATCATTCCTAGGAAAGTTTCTAATTCTTTCACATTTTTTGGTGGTTTTATATCTAGAATAGCCTTAATTTTGTCTTCATCTGGTTTTAAACCATCTTAATATATGTCTTAGAAAATATATGTCCCATATATTTCACTTCATTCAGCCCAAATTTACATTTATTTAAATTAAATTTAACATTCTTTTCTCTGGCTCTGTCCAACAACTTCTTTAATCTTGAATCATGTTCTTTTTATCTTTACCCCAAACTAATAAGTCATCTATATATATTTGAACTCCTTCTAAATCACTAAAATTTCAGAAAAACTTCTGTGGAAAACTTCTGGTGATGAACTCAGTCCATATGGCAACCTCAAAAAACAATATCTACCAAACGGAGTGTTAAATGTAGTAAATTCGCAACTTGAATCTGACAGTTTTAATTTGCCAAAATGCTTTGTTTGCATCTAAAATACTAAAGACCTTTGCATTTGTCATTTGAGATGAAATTTCTTCAAAGGTTGGTATGTGATAATGTTCTCTCAGTATATTTTGGTTAAGGTGCTGAGGATCTAAACACACTCTTAAATTTCCATCCTTTTTCCTTACTACCACTAATGAATTCACGAATTCTGTTGGTTGGTTAACTTTCTTTATAATACCATCTTTTTCCATTCTTGCTAATTCCTTTTTAATGGATTTAATAAGCTAAGTGGAATTTTCTACAGGGTTCTATTTTACCAACAGCTCCTGGTTTTAATTTAATATGATATGTATATCCAGTTAAATTCCCAGTTCCTTTAAACAAATCTTGATATCCTTTTAAAAGTTCTGGTAACCTTTCATTAGAATCAGGATTTACTGTACAAATCCTTTGTATTAGGTTTAATTTTTGCAATGTAGGTAAACCTAAAATAGCTGGAACAGTTTTATCACATGCTACAACTTGAAATTCTACTTCATCCTTGTCCCCTTTCGATGTTTCACATAATAATTTACATTTTCCAACTACATCAATTGTAGTACCATTGTAATTATTTAAAGTGACTTTTGATTTAGTCAAACATTTCTCTCTTAAATTTAATTGTTTAAATTTAGGCAATGGTAGCACATTACACTGAGCTCCACTATCCAACTTAACAAATAATATTTAGATATGTTTACTTTTAGTTTTTCAAAACCATTCGGTTTTATTTTTAGAAAATGGATTTATATCTTCTACTGACCCTAAAATATATTCATTACCATTATTATGTAACTCATGCTCTAAATTATTCTGTACAACATTAACATTTTTATAAGTGCACATTTTAGAAAAGTGATTTTTCTTTTTACAGTACAAGCAAATCTTATTATAAGCAGTACAGTTGTATAACTTATGAAAAGTTCCACATTTTTCTACATGGTTTGGATTATTGTACTTATTTCCTTGATAGTTTGAAGAAAATTTAGTACTTTGTTGCTTTTGTTTTACATGATAGTCTTTCTTACAAGGCTGACTTTTTCCTCTGAAGGTCGAAATTTATTACGTTTGATAGCTTCTATTTTATTTTCTTCAGTTAAAGTTTTCAGCTAAAGTTCTGCTAATTCAGAAGCTTTACACATTTTTAATACATTTCTCCAATGTTAACTGATCTTCCCTTAATAATCTATCTTTGAGATTTTTATTTAGAATTCCACTTACTATTCTATCCCTTATTAAACTATCCTTTAATTCTGAAAAATCCACAGTTGCTACTTAATTTCTTTAAATCGGTTTTAAGAAATCATCAAACGATTCACCTACATGTTGTGTTCGACAGAAAGAAAAATATATGTCTATCAACACTTTCGTTTGCTTTCGGTATGCAAAAATTTTCGAAAGCTTCAATTACTTTGTCAACATCCTTCTTAACTTCTTCACTTAAATTAAAAGTATTAAATTTTTCAAGTGCTTCTTCACCAATTATATGCAATAAAATAGCTACTTTAATTTCAGGCGATTTAGTAATACAGCTAAAAGTCGTTAATCCGGACTCGTCGGGACTTCGGCGATTCCGGATTATCGATTTTTCCGGATTATAGATCATCAGTTTAAATCGTGTAAGATGGCATGCAGAAATTCTAAAATTAAAAATATGAAACCGTAATTTATGAAATAAAGAACAATTATGATCTAAAGGGTATCAAAATTTACAACAAAAAGCTTAATATTTATTTGTTTATTTTATTAAACATTTCTTTCAATGTAAGTTGTTTAAGTTGCTTCTTTTTATGTGTTTTTATGTTCTTCCAATTTTCGCTTAAATTTCCTTCGAAACTTAGATTACTTGGTGGCTTTAATCCATCCATATTTAATTTAGGACTTTAAATAGTTTATATATACGTATTTTTAGCCACTTTCAATAAAAATAAACAATTCACTTGCCATCGATATAAGTTTCGATTTCACAGTAAACAACTTCCCATGATGTTTTTGTTCAGAACATCTTTACCGAGGCTGCATGGTTCTTTAAAAAAGATTTTCTTTTTTAATCAATGAGGAGCTACGCCATGTGTTGTATTTTATATGTGTTGGTTACGTGCTCAGTGATGATTACAAGATGTACACAAACATGGTTTATTCTACATTACTCATCTACTATACAGTTATGGTTGAAGATAATAATAGATACAGTTACAGTTACATATATAACATTTCCGTCTAAAGCCAGATGTCGTTTCACACAATATATGCCAAATAAACCAGATAAATTTGGTATCAAGTTGCCGCTGATGTTGATAGTAACTATGTGCTCAATGGTTTTCTATATTTGGATAAAGATTAGGAACATCCTGAAAACCTATCTCTCTCCGAATGCGTTGTTTTGCGTTTGAGAGAAGCTTTCGAAAATAAGAGAAGAAATATCACTACACTAAATCTGTCTCAAATGTTAAAAATGAAGAACACTAGTCTAACTGGAATGATGAAACAAAATTGGAAAGGAGTACGTGAATTTGTGAAAAAAGTAAAGATGCTGTTAATATGATACATTGTTACTGGAGGATGATGATATAACTTTGACGGTTTATTAGGGGAAAACCAGCAAAAATGTCTTATTATCGAGCTCTCTTTATCTCACAGTTGATATCGACAATAATCACCCAAAAAGCTTCCAGAAGCAATATCATTTTATAACTCAACAAAATTTGGTGTCGACATTGCCGACCAAATGGCTCGGCAATATTCTGTGAAGGCAGGATCAAGGAGGTGGCCAATTCATGTATTCTACAATATTCTTGATCTTGCAGGAACTAATTCATGGATTTTATACAAAGAAATTACTGGGAAAAAACTTACGAGGAGAGTATATCTTCAACAACTCATTGAAGAGTTGCGTAGTGTGTATATTCACAAAAGAGAGTACAAGTCAGATACACAGACAAAAGCGGATACTACTGAAGAATCTGCATGGATGCGAAAAAGGTTTCATTGCCAAGCTTTCAAGTGTAGAAAGAAAACTGTAAATACTTGTTCTGACTATAAAATACCGATATGTGGAAAGTGTATAGAATACATAAAAAGAAATTGCCCAAAATGTGCATGAATTGTGTAGGAAATCTTGACTGGTAAAAAGCTAAATATTTGTATTAAAATTGTCTGTATATAATATTCCATATTGTAATACCTTATTATTTTTATCACTTATTATAACAATTTAATGTTAAAAATAAATAAAAGTCATTGCCAAATAATTACAGCATACTTTTAGCATAACAACACAGGTTTTTATTAATTGGGGTCAATTTGACCCAGCCCGCGGTTTTAGGTATACCAAAACTGCTGCCGTTCTAGTGAATATGAAATACAGAACTGACATGTTTTACCAATTGTTAGCTTGTACTTAAGCGTTTGCAAAGGAGCTAACCAAAGCTTAAGCCAATAAATTGAATTCAAGCTACAGTGAAACTAAGAGTAATGATCATCCTATGCTACCAAGTGCACTCTCTTTAAGAGTTATATGCTTATTTAGACTTCACTATACTAATTCTTATTCTGGTGGTAGTTGAAGAAAGTTGTGGCCTTGGCTACTAATGTTCAAACTAAACAGCATAAATTACAAACAAATAGCTAAGTTTATTGCTTTTTATTTTTCAGCCATCAAAATGAGATGCTACCGAGCAACGTTCGGAAACCAAAACCAAAGTAATCACAAATCAAAACTAATTGCCATTCAGTATAAAAGAAATATAAATATGAATATTAACAAAATGTTAAAGTTAATTTTATAAAATAATTAAACACATGAAAAATAAAGAATAATTATTTCTCATGTAATAACTGTACCATTGCAAAGTAGAAGTAAAAGTAAAGTCAAAATAATTTGATAATTGGTTTAACATGCCATTATTATACACATAGTTAATCTCAGCAAATATATATTTCTAATTATTATTATTTTATATCCAACAGAGACGAGAAAAGATCATCAGAAAAATATAACAATACTGCGAGTGAGGCATGTAATACCGCTGCATGGTCAAAATTTGTAATTCGATATGCAGTGAAAAGAAATATTCATAGCACAGCATATGATCTGCTGTTGTGTTTACCATTAGTTTCGGCTACATCTTCAACAGATTTCAACTTCAGAGATTTAATTAAAGCTCTGATCATAGAAGATAAAAGCTTAGTAAGTATTTCAGAGTATCTTTTATATAAATTGCTTAATAACTGCAATAAAATTGCAAAATAATGTATGTAAATGTTTAATCTTAATTTTTGCTTTATTTTATTTATTTATTTTTTCAGGTTGTAGATTGTGAAACAGTCACACCTGGCTTGATGATACCAGGTTTATTTTCTCCATTGTCTGATGATGCAGCTGTCATTTCTATAATAGATCCTGCAGTTAGCTTCTTTGAACATAAGAAGATTGATTTTCCCAAAAGCATTCATCATAAGCAAGTAAATGAAGTTGAACTGAAAGCAGAAATAGAGAAAGAAATGAAATGCTTATTAGATTCAAAAGGTAATATCATATTTAAAAAAAAACTGTTTAAAAAAACTTTATGTTAACAAAAATATTTTCTTGATGATTTTAAGATCTTTAATTTGAACAACTGATTAGATGCTTAAGTAAATTGACTTGTCCGATCCTGAATATCTATCATTGAAGAACTAACTTAAAAAAACGGTTTCTCAATCTTGAACCTGCAATTTATTTATTTATTTTTTTTTTTGAAAAATGTATCTGTTCATTGAGAAATGCAAAATAGTAAAAACTTAGCTGCTGTAAATAAGCAGTTGAAACTTGTTAAAAAAAAAAAAAAAAAAAAAAAAAAAAAAAAAAAAAAAAAAAAATTGCGATACAGGCTATATTTGGCAGTTTTTCAGGTTTTCAAAATGTAGTTTTGAGTTTTGGAAAGTCACCAAGCTATTTGATTCATGCAATGAAAATAAAAAATGATGTGTAAGAAAATAAAAAGAAAAAATACATATAATTTCATAGTAACTTAAAATGAAAAAAGCATGATGAAAACATAATCTGTCAAAAGTTGTGAAGCTTATTTTTTTTTTTAGTTTATAACAGCATTATGGCAGACAATCTTACACTGCCAGTTAATATCATTTCAATTCAAATTTGCAAACATGCAGTTTGGTTTCATAAATATCTATCAAAATTACTAACCAGCAGTTAGATTAGGTTAGAAAATTGCTTTCAGTAAATTTTGCTGTCTGAAGCAATGAAAAAGAATCATGGAGCATCAATGAAAAAAAAAATGTGAAAATAATTTAAAAAGTGTATTGCACTCTAAATAAAAGAAAATACAAAACTCCAGAACAATGAGAGCTTGTTAGATTACCACAATGCTTTATATGCATCAAGAAGCTGGAAAACTAATAAGCAAGGTCTTCCAACCTTAAAATCTCGATTAAAAAAAAAAAAAAAAAAAGAATAGATAAATAAAATGTATATAAAGCTACACATCTAGAAATACATAATAGTAAAAACAATAGTTGCTAATATTCTGTAGATAAATCAAAAAATGTATTAACTATGGAATTTTTGATGGACAATGGTATATTCTCTGATGAAATTTGGTACAACTTTAAAATTCTGTAAAATATCCAAAATAGTGCTGCATTGCCAACTACAGTTAAATTTGCATATTTTCAATTTTTATTTAAATCAATTAAGCAGTTAATTCTTTTTACTATTATAATACTTCTAAATAAGCAAATGCATTTTTCTGCATATTGCTTTATTAATAATTTCAATATTTTATTGAAGACTGTTCCTGAGTTTTTCAATTAAACCTCAGTCTGTATTTGTTTAACCATTAAACAGATTTGCGTGCAGAAAATCTAGTTGATTCTAGATTAGGAAAAGGGAAGGCTATGAATCTTTAAGAAGAAGGAAAGGAGGGGAAAAAATGCTAAGCTAAAAAAAGAAAAATGCATAGGATTATAAGGAAAAGGCTGTGAAATTCTGCCACAAAGGCTAAAAGCTTGAAGCATTCATATATTGGAAGAAAAAATTTTCCAAAAGTCTGATGATCCAAAATAATAATAAAAGTAAATTAATTAAATAAAAATAAAAGAAGTAAAGTTCTTTTAAGGGAATTGGCTTGTATTCACATTGCAGATGGGGTAAACAATGAAAACTACAGTATGGCTAGCTCAGTCATCAGAATTAGATCCCAAGTAGAACTATTTAGTGTTCAGTACTTTTACTGCTTGGCTGGTGGTTGACTTGCATTTCTGAAACTTGTAATTTAATTCACTACATATTTGCAGCTTTTTAAAACAGATTACTGCTTTCATAATTTTCAACTGTATCTTGTCTTACTATGCATTTAATCCATGGTCAATATTTTATTATCAGTTATTATGTGTCCTATTTGTATTTTATTTATTTATTTATTTATTTTTAAAGTAGTATACATGGTTCTAGAATTTCGTGTATTCTGGCTGACATTTCAAAGATTATATTTTCATCAGTTATACTTCCATTTTAGGTTATAGTGAAATGGCACTCAAAGTATGAACTTTTCCCTTTTATCTGCTCGAATATCAATGTATTTTTGTTTCATAAATTGATCAGCTTAATAATTTTCCATTTTTTCAAAACTGCATTTTGAACATTTGAAAGTGCTCCTATACCACTACATTGCCAAATTTAATTCTGTTTTACAATCTTTAACTGCCTATCTATAGAAAGTTAGCAACTAAAATTATCCCTATTTTGTAGTCCAAGATTGGAAGATTTATATATATATTTCAGAAAATGAAGTTTAGTAGGCCTTCCTTGTAAGTAAGCAAGTACTTATTGAAAGTAGCATGGATGAAATAAAAACTGCTAGAATTAATGTTTTCTGTGATAAATAATAAAATGACATCTGTAATGTCCCAAATTAAATGAATCTTGAACTCAGCATAAACAAACTTAAAATTTCAAACTGAAATAATTTAAAATAGGACACGAACAAAACAACTGCTTTCAATAAAATTCCCAGTTTTTGTAAGAAGTTTGTTTTATTTAAATTTTGAAAGATATAAAAATATTTTCTTAATACTTTTGAAATACAGGTGAGCATTATATGCCTGAACTTTCAATAATTTATGGATATTTATAGTCATTTGGGCATAGGAGTTGATTTAATTTTTTTTTTCCTATCCTGAAGAGAGTATTCTACATATCATATTTAAAAAATGAACAATTTTCTGTTAACAGGGTGCCAGTCACCAAATGTGTGCTAAAGCATCAAATATAATAGCCTATTTATATTACATCATGAACATCTGTGTATTGATAATATAGATATATAATGTTTAATGCATGCAATGTTGTTTTTGTTCAATTCTCTGCTTTCTGCTCCCCCCCCCAAAGCAAAAGTATTTGCTGTGTATATGGAAAGAAGTGCAGTTTTGTTCTTCCCATGTTCATGGTGATCTGTTTTTGCCTGAAAAAACATCAGAGAATTGCTTAAATTCAGCATAGCACACAATTACATTCATTAAATATTGTGTACATTATATTGACTGGGTGTAAAATAATTATTCTTTTCATGAAGCTTAATGTATCATTACAGTTGACACTATCTAGTTATATTTCAGCTAACATTTTTAGTTGGTACTAAGTGTTACCCCATTAGCAGAAAAGTAAAAATGTATAATTTGTATTGAAAAAACGAATAACTTCATTTAAGAGCAATTTTTTATCAAATAAATTGGGATGAAGAATATAGGAAAAATAAGAATTTTAGGACAACTGTGAGATCTCGTATTACACTGCATATATATTATGGTTTATTTCATTTTCTTTAAATTAGATTATTTGTGTTGCTGTTATAGCAACTGAAATATGAGACAGACAATTTGGAATTTTTTTTGAAATTTTTTATTCTAAATTAAGAATTAAATTAGGATATGTAAGGAAGAAATAGTCTTGATAGTTTTCTGCATCCTATCAAAACACAAGTAAATTTCAGTAAAAAAAAGGCATATTAGAAAAAATTAAAAATGGCCTTGTTAGTACAACTTACAGTAACAATGAGGAAAGTGGGATTTTTAAACTTAGCCAGTATAAATCATTAGAATGTTCTGATTTTATAAAATATTAAACAAAATGAGCTTAACATTTCAAAGAAAAATAAATGTGGAATAAAACAGTTAAAGTTTTATTTTAGAACATAACAAAATATATTAAAATTTATTTTGAAATTTTAGATGATTCAAATGTTTTTTTACCTTTTATGATATATGTAACAAGTGTTTTATTCTATTTATTTTTAATCTGAACAGAAGTAACACCATCAGTTGAAGTAAAAAAGGATGGCTTTCTTATCAAGCCTTTTGAAGCTGAATGTTTAGAAACTTGGTTTGCACCAAATCAATCTCTTTCTAATCTGGCAAATGAAATTAGTACTGATCAAATTACTAGGTAAAACTTTCTGTTGATGCACTTTTTCTTTATCCCTGAAAGGCAGATATTTCATTATAAAACTTATAATAGTAGGAAAATTCATATAAATGGCAAGTAAAAAGTCATAATTATGTACAGTACAAAGTCCGTAATTCGGACTCGTCGGGACTTCGCCGATTCCAGATAGAGGTTTTGCGGATTATAGATCATCAATTTAAATCTGGTTAGATGGCATGCAGAAAATATACAATTAAAAATATGAAACCGTTATTTATGAAATAAAGAGTAATATGGTATTTACAAAAAAGAGCTTATATTATTTGTTTTACTTTATTAAACATTCTTCAATGTAATTTGTTTAAGTGTCATTTTTGATGTGCAATACATTCTCTTTAATTCTGTAAACAGACATAATTTCTTGTTCAGTTACAAGTCACACTGTGTAATTGCTGTGTCGATATACTGACTAACTTGTCAATCGAAATTTTTTCATTTTCAATGACCTTATCATTTTTCTTCGAATGGTAGTGGGTTTTGGATCTAGAAACATATCAGATTTCGCGTGCGTTGATTGATTGGTGATTGGGGCGTTGTTTGCGCAGTGAAAAACTTCTGTTATATCATCTTCATCATACTGCTTTCCACATATCTTACAAAGTCCAGTAACTGGAAAATTTCACCTTTAGTTTGCATGTCCGAAAACCTTCAAATTCGCGGCTATCTATTCTTCTCGTCTTCACCATGAAATATGGTAGCTGCATAAATTATGCAAGCATTTTTTAACGTATCTGGAGACACTCCTCCCATGTGCAGACTCCAAACAGCAGATTTTATGCTAAAAAATTTCTAGTCTTGAATTGACTTGCCATTGACTCTTTTTGACATAATCTAAAGTTCAAGCTTAGTTTTTATAAAATTGCTCTAACAGTCTGCAAAAAATAATAACACGTCCAATTAGAAGATTAAGGAACAGCACGATCTGCAACTTTAATTGAAATGACTTAGGATCAGTAAAGATGATTTTAGCCTAGCTTATACCGCCCATTATACATTAAACACATATGCGTAAAGCATACAAAAAAAAAGTTTGTGTCTTTGAGGTCCGGATAATGGACATCTGGATTACGGACTTTGTACTGTATATATATAATATATCTGAAGTTTTTATTTACACACTTTTGTGTAAATGTATTAAATAATAATAAAAAAAAAATTTGTTACTCTGATATTCTTGATCATATATCACTAAAAGGAAAATCATAAAGCTGTAATGAATGATAGATTTTGTTCAGAATTTTATAATTAGTCATATAAGACCAGGAATATAGTCAAACGTATTTAATCCAGACTCATCGGGACTTCGGCCATTCCGGATTATAGATCATCAGTTTAAATCTGGTAAGATGGCATGCAGAAATTATACAATTAAAAATATGAAATCGTAATTTATGAAATAAAGAAGAATTGTGATCTAAAGGGTATCAAAATCTACTAAAGAAAAAAAGCTTAATATTTATTTGTTTACTTTATTAAAAAATTTTTTCAACGCGCTCATGCGTAAAGCATACGTTACGCATAGTCGAAATTAGAAAATTGCAACCAGAAAACTGTTTGATGCATATTTGTAATATTTATAATGACAGAGTTGCCAACTCTCCCGATTTAGGCAGGAGACTCTCGATTTTCGACCGCTCTCCCGCCAACCCGATTTACAATATATTTCTCCTGACTTTTTCTTATTCTTAAAATTTCTCATGATTTTTATGGAACTTGGCTTAATACTTTGCTATATGAACAAAAACAATGGGCATTGAGCTCCACTGCATGTCGGCTGGCATACATTAGCCAATGAGGACAAAGCAAGTTGTTATTTGGACGTTCTTTAGTTATTTCATTCATTTTGTCCTGAGTTGTGTGAGTACACGTGCCTTAGGGAAATAGTTTCAGAAATTATCATCTTTTGTTACGTTTGCGAGAAAACTCGTGTACGTTTCAAAAATCGTACACAGTTGACTTTCCTTCCATTATTTCCTCAAGGAAATGTAATAAATTTGCGATGTGTTCTGCCTGTATCGATTTTTCGATTTTGCATGGTGGAAGGGCAGATGTTCTCAAATATGTGCGTACAGAAAAACACAAGGATAACATGAGTGTTTTAAAAAAACGAAAAATTAAATTTTTCTTCGGAAACAAAGGACCAAAAGTTATTAATGCAGAATGTGTTCTCTGCCTTTTTACTGAGAACAACCTGCCCACTGAATGCATCGGATCACGCTGCAGCTTTATTTAGAAAATGTTCCCGTAGTGGCAATTGTTAAAGAATGGGTTGAAAAATAAATCCGTTATTGTTGCATAAAACGCTGCGTCTGCTCTTTACGGTGGAACAAAATACAGATTCAAACTGATCAATTGTTTTTCTTTTTTGATCAGAGTCTTCAGAAATTGAGTGCATTTACTTATGTTCCCACTTTAGAAGGCTTTGACATTTTAATACACTGACTACCAATAAGTATTTGGACACCTGTGATAGAAAAGAAAAACTAACTTTATTCAAAATCAATAGTTGGTAGAGCCCTCACGAGAGGTAATTACAGCGTGGACCCTCCGGGGCATACTTTCCACAAGTCTTTGTATGACAGCTAGTGGTATTTTCTTCCACTCGGCTTGGAGAAGACATAGAAGTTCCTTCACCGATTTTGCACGGGTAGTGCACCCTGAATTCGGCGATGCAACTCGTCCCAGAGGTTCTCGATAGGGTTCAGGTCTGGACTCTGGGCAGGCCAGTCCATTCGATGAACTCCATTGGCACCATACCAAGCCTTGGTTAACGTCGAAACATGACAACTGGCATTGTCGTCCTGAAAGTAACAGGGGTCCAACCCGTAAAACTGCCACAACGTAGGAAGCACATTGTCATCCAAAATAGTGCAGTAGGCATCGGAGTTGAGCTTACCATGAATGGGGACCAAGGGTCCCAGCCCATACCAAGAGAAACACCCCCAGACCATAATTCCACCTCCGCCGAACTTGACTGTTGGCACAATGCATTCTGGCAGGAGACGTTCTCCAGGTAGACGCCAGACCCAGACCCTGCCATCCGAACGGTAAAGGGTGAACCTTGATTCGTCACTCCAAAGAACCCGTTTCCACTGATCTACGGTCCAATTTCGATGTGCTTTGCACCACATTAACCGAGCAGCGCGGTTGGACTTTGTGATCAAAGGCTTATGGGCAGCAGCACGACCATGAAAACCAAGCAGATGTGCTTCCTTACGGATGGTATTCATTGAAACAATACTCCCGGATGCCTGTTGAAACTCCTCGCGGATGAGGGCCATCGGTTGGGTGCGGTTCTTCCGAATTTCTCTGGACAGCACTCGTCGGTCTCTATCTCCCAGTTTCGTTGGTCTGCCGACTCGGGGCACATTCCGACAATCACCGCTCACCTTCCACTTCTTAATCACATAGGCCACTGTCGATTTTGGGTACTTCAGATCGCTAGATATGTCCCTTAAGGATCGGCCACATTTGTGATACCCGATAATTATACCTTTCTCGAAATCAGAGAGCTCCGAACTGCGAGGCATCTTGCATGCGACTAAAGCCGATGCTGTTTCTCACACGATATATACCGGCGGAGTCCGTGACGTACCTTAGGACCGCAGATATCGTCATTTGCATAGGTGTCCAATACTTATTGGTAGT